TTGAATATTTTTGTACTACTAGAATTATATGGCTATCCATAAAGAACTGCTGCTCCTTAGCAAACTCTAAAACTCCCTTATCATTTTTTAAAAGCCATAGGCTCGGTCTGAAAAATAAAACATGATCAAAGTGACAATTCGGGCTCAAGTTTAACAAGTGTAAGGAGAAATTCATATATTGACGTCAAATTTCGCTTTCTGTTTTATTTAAAGCACTCATTCTTGAGAGAAGATTATAAGAATTATATGGAAATATACAACAGCAAAAGTGAGGGCAAGTTCATTTACTGCTGTCAAATTTTGCTATATGTTTTGTTAAAACCGGTCATTTTTAATCAAACCCAAGTAATCTGTGGTGTAGTCTGTGCCCTTTATAAGGTCATTTCGCAATTTTTCATTGCACACACTTACTGTGCAAGTATCGTGCACATTTAAAAAATGGAGGGATCAAACTTGTGCAATAAAAAATTAACCTTAATGAGTCCATGTTTTTACAGGGAGCTGGAGGCTAATAATATAACCTTTTTCCCTGAGGGATTGTTTGACAACTTGATCAACCTGTTGTGGCTGTGAGTTAACACGAGTTTGTTTAGCTTATCTAATAAACTGAAGAGGCTTTCTCCGAAAGAGCCAAGAGATCGGCCTGAAGTTATTGGGACAACGCAAGGGCTAAAAACTAGCAATAGTGAGGACTAGTTCATTTACTGCTGTCAAATTTTACTATATGTTTTGTTGAAAGCCGTCATTTTTAATCGAACCCAAGTAATCTGTGGTGTAATCTGTTTAGTTAGTAGTTAAATATTGTACTACTAGAATTATATGGCTATCTATAAAGAACTGCTGCTCCTTAACAAGCTCTAAAACTCCCTTTTAGGGAGAGAGAAAATTATGAGAGTTTTGATAAAAAAATTATAAGAATTATATGGCTATATACAAAGAACTGCTGCTCCTTAGGAAGCCGATTTTTTGGCAACAGGATCCTGGAGGCTAATGATATAATCTTTTTATCTGAGGGATTGTTTAACAACTTGATTAACTTGTGGTTGCTGTGAGCCAACATGAGTTTGTTTAGCTTATCGAATAAACTTAAGAGGCTTTCTCCGAAAAGAACCATAGTCACAACTCTAGGGCTCAAACTTGTGCAATAAAATAACCTTAATGAGTCGATGTTTTTACAAGGAGCTGGAGGCTAATAATATAACCTTTTTACCTGAGGGATTGTTTGACAACTTGATCAACCTGAAAGTGTTGTGAGTGAACACGAGTTTGTTTAACTTATCTAATAAACTGAAGAGACTCTCTCCGAAAGAACCAACAGATCAACCTGAAGTTTTTGGGAGAACGCAAGGGCTCAAAACTAGCAATAGCGAGGTCAAGTTCATTTGCCGCTGTCAAATTTCCTTACATGTTTTGTTTAAAGCAGTCATTTTTAGTACTCACAGCAAATTTGAATGAATCAATTAATAAAAAGGCTTACTCTGACGAGTCGATGTTTTCACGGGATACTGCCAGATAATAATATAGCCTTTCTACCTGAGGGATTGTTTGACAACTTGATCAACAGGGAATGGTTCTGATTTAACGCGAGTTTGTCTAGTACTAGTTCAAAGACGAGTGCGAGACTCTTTTCTTAAGAACCAGCAGATGAACCTGGAATCATTGTGAGAATTCAGGGACGCAAACCTAACTATTGTGATGATTATTTAGTTTGCTCACATCAATTCTCCCTTAATTGGATTCCAACCAAACAAGGGATATGATTGATACAGACGAGTTCTGATAAACTTAAGTAGCTGAAGGTTGCATCAGTTGCCTCTAGTATTTATGCAAATTTTACTTAAAATCTCTCAATTTCTGTTGGTTTGTCAGCGCCAGCTTTGTTTTCTGCTAAAACTTTAATAATTTAAAAGTTTATCAATTCCTCTGTAGAGGAAATTGATATTCTGATGCTCTCATT